TTGTTCTTGAGTGCGATGCAAAACAGTTCACGCCGACGTAATTAGTGACAAATGAAGGGCGTGAACCTGTCCAATTGTGTGTATTGAAGCGATTCTGATAACAAAAGAAAATATCATTTTAGGAATTGAATTTGCCTATCTATTGGCGTGTGACCATAAACTTAAAAGGATGCATAAGAATAGCAACAATTTAAAGTAAAGGTTTACTCAATAAAAATGCATTGTTAAATTATTTACTGACTGGCAAGATTTTGATAAAGAGAGTTATCGAGTAGCCTGTTTGACATAAGCTTAATTAAGTAACGTTTGTAATAATTCGTTACGAAATTTCAGTAAATTTATAAGAGGTTGAATGTGGCTCCGTGTCTGGAAGAGACTGTGAACCCTTGGTGTAGCGGATGTGGTATAAATGAATGTGGCAGTAACTGGAAGAATTCTGTATACTTAGGAGTTTGGAATATTTTATTAGAATAATACCTTTCCTGCTTGTATGTCACGTGTTTAGACTGAGTGTACACTATAGGTCGCCCTATACAGCACCGATCATTACTAATAATGGGCCGTATTATTATTTATATTATTGACTATTCAGGTTCTTAATGCATAAAGAAAATAAGAAGTCATCCGTCTGAGTCCCAGTAGGGGGGCCTCTCTCTCAGATACAGCGCTGAAGCAAGGACCACACTGCACGCCAGCGAGGCGCAAGTCCCAACAGGTACAGCGTTACTGTACAGTGTCGAGTGGTGATTTGTTTTTGTGAACGCTTTTATGTATTATATGAATGGAAGACCAACCATCAGATATTGTACAGGTCTTTTTTTAAATAATATTTTCCGTAGTTTAAGATTCGATTGTAGTGATGCTGGTTGTGACGCCATGTAGACGCGTTACAAAGGTTTCGAATATACGTGTTGCCTACGTCATGAAGATGGAGGTGATATGTTCCTCCGAAACGTTGAAAGAGTACACGGCACCACAGCACAGGAGACAACAATTGACAAATCGATCTTCGTCAGTGTAATACAGATTGTAGGTTATTATTTCTCAAGTGTTGCCACTCTTGTCCTGTAACTTACCTTAATTTACCACTCACACTCGTTTGCTGTTGGAGTTAAAAGTGCATGGCGATTGACTTCTCCTTTAGTTTTGTTGTGCGGGTCTCGTTTAAGTCGAGGTCGACATGAACGCAGCGCCCAGTGCGTTTTCCGCGACAGCCCAACAATGCAAAAAGCGAATGGCGCTCGGAATGCTACTCTGTCCCGCTCCATTGTTCCATTGTTAGAATATGGTTATTTATTTGTACGTGCGTTTGTTATATTTCACGGTTTTGTCTCGTTTCTCTCCTTTACCCATCATTTTTTGGTCTTTTAGAAGCCCAGCTTTGTTTACATTATTTACTTCCTGATATAATACGCGGTATTGTATTACTGGAGTTATAATTTATACGTTCTATTCACGCTAATCCTTTGAACAATGAAAACAGAATTACTGGTACGCGGTTTTGGTTCATTCTTTCTGTAACAATGTAAGTCGGCATAGACAATGACTGTCTTCTGGGATATTACACCGACGTTTCAGAGATTCCTGCTACCTCCATCAACAGGGTGAGGGAACCCTGATAATAGAGGAAATATTTTAAATGTTATGAATTTTTAGAACAATTAATTGTAAAGACGTCATATCCGTCAATGTTATTATCGCCTCACTAATTCTTATCAACGTCGTGTTAGGCCCGCTAGTCAGCAGAAACTTTTTTAACAGTGCAAAGTTATTATAATACTTGCTTTCTATTTACAGAGCTCCTTGAAAATTATATCTATTAGTGCTTTGTAATGTTCGTGGCTGAATCAGGGACCACGTGTTTTGCCAACGTGGTTCCGAATGAGGTACGTTAAATAATCCTTCGTTTTACACGTTACGTGGGTAACTGCCAAGAATGTTATCATTTCGAAAGCCAAAGCACACCTGTATCAAAGAAAATTTGAGGATAATATTAAAATGGTATTAGAGAAGTATGAAGTAATGATGAAAACTGAATTCAACTGGCTGCAGATAATATCGAGACCTGATCGGTTTTGCTATGTTTCAGTGTATGGGTTTCCACTGAACCACGAGAGAAAGACTTTTTATTTATCGTTTTTTTTTCTTCAATTTGTTACCCGGGCTAACTCTGCTCTGGGTCCACGTTTGTTCCGTTTAACCCAGAGTTGAAGATTAAAATAGCGACTCATTTTATGCATAATTCCTCACCGTGTCGGTACAAGAAGAAAGATCTCCAGGCGCTACAATTTTTTCGTTTTTCTTACCACTGCGTCTTCTTTGCATGACAAAGACCCCCTTAAAGTACGAGCGAGCGGTAGTGTTTTTTGGTGTTGCGGTCCTGGAGTGTCTGCCCCATCAGCCAGCTCAGCACTTTGTGTAACAGCAGGGGGGCTCTGCATTCACGTGATGGGGTCGAGCCCCTCTCCAATACCGTACCTGTGGAGGAAAAGAGACCTGTCCGGCCGATACACTTCAAATAATCATCATTGATCAACATTGTTCCGCAAGACAACCGAGACGAATTGTAAACCCCGTGTGTACGTGTGCTTAGTCGGGCAGTTTACCTGCTGATTAGGTGTGATTTTTCATCCTGGGTTACCTACCTCTGGTTATTAACTTTGTGTTTCGTCGTGTTAGCTGCTGGGTCCAGCGTGGGCTGTATGAAACGTAATTTAGATTTCTGAAGAAACTTTTAATAGGCCTTGACCTGTCTGAAGATTGAAGTAACATGTACACCACTTTCGTGCAAAAGACAGTGAGATGATTCACTAGCGGTTGGCACAGCGAATTTTAAGATTCACGAAAAATTATACAATGTTTTAACTGACCGTTTCCATTATACGTACGAGTTATGTCGGTTAGAAGTGTCGCCCCATTCGGTTTCCTTTATTAGTCTGTTTATCTCTTGGGTGAGTGAAGAACATGTGTCAGGCAGTCTGACAACATTTTGAAGCCCAGTGGTAACTATATATACCATTTTGTTTAATATTCAGCAACTTTTAATTTTACCGACAGAGTGTAAGAGAAAATGTTTGCCTTTGCTGGGAATTGAACCCAGTTGTTGAGACAGCAGTCCCTGTGGTTTATTGACTGAGCTGTGCCTGTTCATAAGAAATACCACGTCTTATAAAAGTCAGCGTGAAAGGATTTACTGCTCTCGGAGTCTGTTGATGTGAAGACGACGTTTTAGGCTTGTGTTCTGGAAGCATTCCGTGTATTTCTCGGCCGAGTTACTTGATATTTCATTGAGATTTGCCGTGATTTTCTCAGTGACTTCGGTCGAAACCTGCACAGCAATTTGAAACGTAATAAGTAATTGTGTTCCAGACACTTGCTAGGTCGCTTTTAATTTTAATAATTCTACCCAATCGATGATAATCTGCATAACTATTTTAGTTCAAATAGCGTCGTTAAATAAGGAAAGAATACATATTTTCGTTTGTATGGATACATTGAAGCTCGTTTCTTAATGGTGAACACATTGTCCCCAAGTAAGAAGTGTTCAATTAAAATTTCTTATATTTAATATTTTTGTTGCTTTCTATGAGCCAATGAACGGAGGTCCGGGCAAAACTGTATACTAGATTTTTTTCAAGATATCAAATTCGTGTCGGTAAAGTCTACGTTTTGAGGAAAAGAACTTCTCATTGTCTGAGACAATTTTCACCCACCTTCAACACCGTCAAATGGAGTGATTTCCCTTTCTTGGTGTACTCCATTTTCTCTGAAGCAGTCGCGATCTGTGTAATAATTTCATTGGGTTATTTCTTGACACTCGAGGCTACTCGCTGAGCTTTGTCTTCGTGGTGCCTGGAGAAATGATTTACCATCTTCAGTCGTCTTACCATCCTGCTCAGTTTCATGGGACCGAAAGAGAGTCCTTGAAACATAATTTTCGTTGGGAAAATGTCTTTTTGTAAGTACCTAAATCCGGAGCATAGCTAAGAAAGAGAGGCTGGTGGTTCTATCAGATTCCTGGCTCTGTCTTTGTAGAAATGAGCTATTTCATTACTGCGTCGCTACCACAGTCATCATAGAACACGAAAACCTTATTTTAGTAGGCCTATTTATTTTAGAAATGTCAGAGCCTTTAATATTTCCATTAATTTTTTAATATTGTATAATATTTTTAAAAGAATTAAGATGTTTTGTTATAATTAAGGGAATTTATCAAAAACTACCTAAGGTAGCCTATGATAATTTTCAAAATTGAAGACAACGGAAATTTATCGAGAGATGAAGAATTTTTTGTGGGCAGGTTCTAACAGCGAAGAGTTTTTCTAATTTATAATTGTTTTCGGGATGTAACACCGTGTAATATGTTCCATATTCACTGACAGGAGGAGTTGTCTCCATTAGTCTGATGATTGAGACAGTAAACTTACCAGGGTGATGAATATCACCGTGATCATGGTGGCACCTCCGAAACGTCGGCAAACTTCTACCACACTACACGGCTCAACAACCCAGAAGACAGCCATGTTCTGTGAGACAGAAATTGGACCCACATTGGCAATTTTAATATGCTCTTGCGTTATGACTTAGGTTTTTCATGTTGATGTGGTCCTAACTTCTTCACGAACGCAGTGCCTGAGTAAACATGAAATGTGTCATAAAGTTGGATTTTTACTTGTTTATTTTAAAGCAGATTGGCTTTTAGATATTTTCAACACGTGTGTTTCGCCATCATTATATTTGTTGCTTTGTCAACTTTTTTCTCTCTTTTTAAACCCCGGATAGATTTATTACTTCACTGAAAGTTCAACGTGTCATATGCAAATAAACTTGTGAAGAAAATGAGTATACGAGTTGAATCAACCAATAACAGGACAGACACGTTTAATTCTCTGCGTAGGGTACATCCCCTCACCTCCCATTGGACAGTCTCTAAGTTAACCTCCCATGCTGGATTGTCCAATGGTAGCTCAGGATTTGAACGAGCCCTCAGGGTCTCCAGGTCGGTTGCCCTTCCTTGAACGACGTCAGTTAGTTCATGGACAGAGTCTGTAGGAAAAGGTAGCTATGCGTTAGCTTGTTTGAACATGGCTGCACGGCGCTGAGATTTATCTATTACAAGAACAATGTAGAAGTTTGTTACTGCCATTATCGGACAGTTCTAGAAGCAAATGGGCGAGAATGAAGCGATCTTCAGTTGTTAAATATCTTGGGAAGTTTTGAAAAGTAGAGGAATAATGAGTGTGTTAGATTCTGTGACGAGACGGACATCCGTTCACCTTTGCATTCAACTGCTAGTCATTGAACACCAATGCACGTACCTGTGTTCTGACGTCGTTATTTCGGAAGTAGTGATCTGAGGGTATCTTGTGCAAGAAACATCGTAACCATTAACACCAAGTGTTCTTGTGATAAGTAAAGTATATATAGACTTGTAACAGTAAGTGTGAAACGTAAAATAACAGTGAACTGAGTAGTGATGTTGAACGGTTGAACGTGTTTTGAACGTCGCGATGCCCAGGCCGAGCCGCGAGTCATACGGGGACCAGAAGCCACCGTACTCGTACATCTCGTTGACCGCTATGGCCATCTGGAGCTCTCCTGAGAAGATGTTGCCGCTGTCAGACATCTATCGCTTCATCACCGAGCGTTTCCCTTACTACCGTCGGAACACACAGCGTTGGCAGAACTCCCTGAGGCACAACCTCTCCTTCAACGACTGCTTCATCAAGATCCCGAGGCGACCCGACCGACCGGGAAAGGGCGCCTATTGGGCTCTGCATCCCGCAGCCCTCGACATGTTCGAGAACGGTAGTCTACTTCGGCGAAGGAAGCGATTCAAGTTGATGAAGACGGATAAAGATCGTCTTGAAAACGAGTTAGCGGCTCTGGCCAACATAAACCGGTTCATGTTCGCACCGCCTCAACCGGCTTTACCGGACACGACATCGGCGGCGGCCGCCTCGCAGTTGGTCCATCAGAGTCCGGTCGCTAACCGCCCAGTGACGGGGACAACTGTTTCTTCCTCCCAGGTGCAGAGGCCGAAGCGTTCGTTCACCATAGAGAGCCTCATTTCACCAGACAAGCCTTCTGCAGAGACGGAGGATGATCTGACGTCGGTCCCCGTAACCACAGCGCCACCGGTAGCATTCCTATACAACCCGATTGCAGTGACAGCGCCATCGCCTTGCTACGGCGGTCTCGTACATCCTACATCCTACATGCACCCTTCTCTAGTAATGGGACTAGTACAACCGCACCCAGGATTTTACCCACAGCACCCCATTCAGGCGGAACATCCAGGTGCCCCCGTCTCCAGCGTATTCAGGTTCAGTCCTACTTTGAGGTCAGTCTGACCCGTGACGGTGACCTCTGCGTGGGTCACAGATAAACCTTCGGCCGACGTGACCGATGCTGGGGTCACCAACAGAGGGGTGCCATGTGACTTGCGGACTTGGCCTGCACCTCCCGGTGTGAGTAGGTGACCTGTGTGACACCCCAACCCCTCCCCCCCCTCCCCGCGATAAATCAGGACGAAATTATTCGTCAACGCTAGGTACTGTTCGATATACCACTGTTATGACTGGTAACATATTAGCCACATTCTGTCGGTTGTACTCGACGTGTGGACAGTGAGCGCTTATGTGGTAGTTATGTACGTATGTAAATAGTCCTAATTACAAGAGATGAAAGAGCGACATGCTATTACAGTATTTCGCATCGACTGTTGGCAAAATTACAGAGATTGTTAGTTCTGGTAATTGCATTTCCATCATGGCAACTATTTGTTTAATTGATTGTGTACATAGTCTGTAGTGACAAAAAGCCTCTGTATGACAGTGAAAGTCGTTAAATAAATTATGTAATATGATTCCTGAATTGTAGAAAATTAATAGTAACACCCAGTCATGCAATAAGTATCAATATCCTTTAGAAATTAATAGCGTGCTTGGTTGTGTTTTTTTTTTGCCAAAACATGACACCCTAACACAAAACATCTTTTTGAAGTTATCGGTATTATACTTTATACTACATAATTAAATTGGCAATTCAAACAGCTTGTTTTGAAGAGTCATAGTTTGAGCTATAAGGTACAGTGATGTCTCAGGTCTACAGATACTATTTAAAATAAACTTATTCATTTGCAAAATTATTGTTGTAAATTCTGTGGGGTGGTTTTTGAAGTTTATGAAGTTGGTTAGTCTTACCAAATAAATAAATTAAGAATTGAAAAATAGCAGGCAAAGTAAAGTAGGCTTAATGTAAACTTAGAAAATGGTACAGCAAATTAAAGTAAAAACATGTCATATATTATAATATAATATTTCGTTAAACATAACCTATAAGTTTAGTTAGAAGGGAATTGATGGAACAAATGTACATGTACCGTATGTAAATGAATTTATAGCCTACTAGTCATTAATTAATTAGGCCTATATTTGATTACAAATTCATTTCAGAATTTGGTAGAGAAATGGAATTAGAAATATTTAATTGACGTCTTGTTAGATATGGGCGCATATACATCTGTTGTAAAGAAGTTGTTTTTTGCTTGTATCACCAGAATATTTTAATCCGTGTTATATTTTCATACATATTTATTATAAATTATAATATATATTAATTTGAATCATGTGGTCTGGGGATTAAATAAAACGTAGGCTTCTGTTAGTGCGAAACAACCCTTTTTTAAAATTAAATGTTCTTTGCGATAACCAGTCATTTCAGACGGTGTCATTTTTGTGACATAAATGGGTTTCAGCTCAATTAAGTTGTTTGACACATGTCACGAAGTTTTCCTAAAGATAAATAGGTTGGTTACATGTAAGGTCACATCCGTTTAAGTGTAATTAAGTGTCGGATTCTTGAATGGATTAAAATGACGAATGTTTGTGTCCCGTTTATGAAGCTGACTAAATTAGAGCATACGTTGCGATTTAAACCCGTATTTTCTGCACCATTAACACCATCTGTAGAAATTTATGATAGTGGTTAAATTGTTAATGATGCGGGCCTTTTATCAAGATTGTGTGCCTAAAATTTAAGTATGAGTGTTAATCCGTCTTGAATGACAACCAGTGCTTTATTATAATAATTTATGTGGGTACAATGTTGCAGATATTTTGTCGTGCTTCACCCGTGATACGGAGTCCTTTGTAATGATCATGTGATCGAAGGTTCGAGAACTAAATTTCTTATGCTTAGGCTATACATTTTTTGTCATTAGCAACATTATACCATCCGTTACATGCCTTTAGACATGACGGCCATGCTATTAATAGGCCTATGGAAACCAGGTTTACCAGTTTTGTGGAATGAATCTTTCTCTGTTGGAATTTTCTCTTAAGATTGGTGTATGCAACCGCAAACAAAAATGTCTTTGGTATATGGACCATTAATTATTAAAATTGTATAGTGTTGTTGCTATGACCACAAAATTAACTCTCAGTGGAACCATTTCTATTGAGTATGTAACTTGATAATCGCTTTGGATCCCTATCTTTAGCAGTTTGCAACTTCACAACCTAAAATATAATTTTTATAGATACATTTTAACAAAAAAACATTATCTTATCTACACCTTGGTCTAGTAAGTGATTCTTCCCTTCGTAATTTTCAAATGATTGCTTTTCTTTTTTAATTGCTTAAAATTATTCTCGCATTGAAGCATGGTAGCTGTATGTCAAACTAAGTTCACTTGTTATTGTTATGGATATTGCGTTATGGGTCAAAGGTTAGAATAGACGTTAAGATTACTTCGACTGCTGGGATGAAACGGGTTTATGAAGTCTGAGTATTCTCCGCATTCGGTTACGCGCTGCTGCTGTCAGAATTGTGTGAACAGACGAATCACAATAAAAAAGAAAAAGAAGGTTCAGGTTTACATGAATCAACCGTCTCATGTTTTTCTTCTCGTTTGTTTAATGGGACGAATTGGTTTTGTAAGTAGAGGTCACAGTAGTTGGCGAACGTGTGCTAAATTGTGACGAATTTTACGATTAGGGGACGTGACAGTGACGTGACTTAAGAAATCCAATTTTAAGCTAGGACTTCCTTTTAGAAAGTGAGGTCTCGTTTCTTATACAGGCATTTCACAGTGCTTAATAATAGCAAAATAGACTCGTCCTCAAGTAGGTAAATTATTTTGTACTGTGTAACTTCTGTTCGTTTCGACAACGTATAATGAATTCCATAAATAATTACAATAAAATTATTATTTAGTATACAGTTGGAGTTCACTTCAAAGCAATTTATTTATAAATGTATTGTGAAATTTTCTTAATAAAATATTAATTGACGGGCGTTTATGAGTTCAAACGCAGTGTGAAATTGTTGATTTGTGGATCTGTGTAGACTAATTGTAACGAAACGTAGACTTTATTTACGTTTTCTTTAAATTCTAGGTAGGTTTATAACTATTACTGATTATGTTTATCTAAGAGGGAAACACGTTGTTCGCGAAGATGTTCATAGAATGGAATATATAATAAATTGACACTCACTACAATATAGAATTCGAAAAGCTGCTACCTGAAATCTCCATTTTCATCCGGATCGAAGAGAAGAAATTGATGTAGTAATTCAGCTATCAGTGAAACAACCATAGTAATATAAAGAGTAAAGTTTATTCCCACTGGTGGTTCAGATGGTATCAATTTTAGGCCTAGCGCTCGTAAGTTGAAGCCCTACAAAATTTTTGTTGTAATTGGAAAGTATTACGTTAGTATCTTCCACCACGACAAAGCTATGATGATAAAGGTTCTGAAAATTTAGACCTTTAGCCTATGTATGAAAGTACAACAACGCGAAACTGATAACTTTGTATGCCTTTAATTAGGTCTGTTAATCATGTACAACATCCTGCTAACCCAAAGTGATTTTATAAAGTGGGTCGTATGTTTTACACACTTTACCCTATATTTTAAAAATTTGCATAGTTATCCTGTTACTTATTTGGTTTAGTAAAAGAAGTTTATCATTGGGATAGTGATGTTCTGGGTTTTGGCGCCGTAGAAATGTCACATATTATGCGGTCGCTTTTCGTCTTGAGAATCCAGGTTAGGAATTACCCCAGTGCGGACCGGATGACCAATAAAACTATTGTTGTTTAATCATTGTTCATGAGACCTGTACTTAAATTTGTAAGCAGCTGTTGCAAAGGTCGGAACATTTCAAATCAAATCTGCGAAACAGATTTTCGGCCGAACATTAGCAAAGAAAAATGCTGGTTTACTTTTGTCGACAATTGTGACAGATGAAGATGGTTATCATGAAATAAATCGTTGCGTAATGCTTTAAAAATGACCTAAATACGAATAAATGTCGTTAACTGTTACAGTTAATGTAATTAAATTACGGTTTACACGTTGGGTAACAATTGAAAATTGGCTGTTAATAAGCGTCAGATTTTAAAATATCACCACTTTGCCCTTACGCAAGTTAGAATAAGATTTAAATTAATTACTTTCCTAGAATACAAAACATATTAGATCGTTAGGTTTATTAAATCAGTCATAAAATATGATTACTTTTTAAGAAGGTAGACTATTGTTTGGTTAATTTTCAATTCTCAGGAACTAATAGTTGCAATATTGATGATTGATTTGATTGAATCATGAATAAAAAATAGTTTGTTAGATCCCAGAATTGACGGCGACAAAAATTTATGCTTCCAAAATTTTTAAAACCCTGGCTGCACTGATATAATGTCAGAACGACAAAACTAGTAGCTTGCATATTTTTTGTTAGTGGGTTCCTTAAATAAGGCAACGTGCAGATCATAAAGAGTTGAATGTATTGGCCCGGTTTACGTGGCATGGCCATATTGTTTGTCTGGCCACGAATTTATCGTAAGTTAAGGAAAAAGTGTTTATTTCAACCGAGGGAATCAGAAAATCGGATTGTTATAAGGAATTTCGTTATGCATTAATTGCGTGCCCGGAATTTTGACGACTATTTCAGTTTAATTTCACATTTTAGGTTAAGCATTGTAAGACAAGTATTGTTCACATACGGCCAGCTATTGAACACTTGTATAGATATTTAAATTTTACCGTTCTTAACAAATCGAAAGTTTATGTTTGCATTTTTCTGATAATACTCACAGACTATGGCAGTTTTTATTTTAAAATAAGTTTGCAAGAATTCAGAAGTTTGACTTGGGACATGTTAACTCTGCAATTACGTTAACTGTAGTGCGTATTTCTTCCCCCCCCCCCTTCACATTTTCCTGGTAGGATTTTTTTATTTAAACTAACTTCAGCTTCGGGGATAAGCTGAGTCGAAAGTTATTTTCCAACGTTTCGGAAAACTTTACAGTTACCGTCTACTATCATCATTTATACACTTATTATTAGATTAAATATGATTGATATCTGTTTAAGCGTGGTAATTATTCTTCAGAGGAAAAATAGGCCTACTTGTTTTGTCTTGACCTTGGAGACACTTATGTAATCAATAGCATAACATATCCAGTTTGTAGTTACTTATAACTACACGCCTTGGTGCATAGATTTGCTCGTAATGGTATTCGGGGAAAAAAGTGGAATCATGTCTTTGTATCTATGATTTATTTATCGACGTTTTTGGTAGTTCAAAATGTACATGCATGTAACGTCAGTGACATGCTTATTAATACATCATGAATTCGAAAGGATATTGAAGGAAATGGTCATAGCCTAATTTAAGGTACTATCCCGGAATTTTCGTGGAGGGTCTGAGTAAAATCACGCGAAACCTCCTTCATAAGTACGTTGTTAAGTTGCGCAGTTATGTTTGTCCATTCATCTGCTGTATTAGTGAAACAACTGTCACACGAAATACCCAGAATTCATTGGGACAGAATGTTTTTATTCCGTTCCTATTTATTTAATACGATT